ACATAATCATTATAATAAAAGGAATGTACTGAAGAAGTATTTGTATTTCATGAATTATATTATTGCATCGGATAGATTTGCATTTTGGGGAAAAGGTGTGGACACCCTTGATATATGTATTTAAACTGAAACAGACAAGTAATAGTAATAATTTAACATAAATTTAACATATATTATTTTAATATTACAGTTATTTCTGCATTTTTTTATAATTACAGTAAATCTAACTGCTCATTTTAAATCAATACTTTTACTTTTAATACTTAAGTACAAAAAAATCAGATACTTTAAGACTTTTACTCAAGTAATATTCCTAAAGGAGACTTTACCTTTTACCAAAGTAATTTTTGGTAAGATACTTGTACTTTTACTCAAGTATCAGTTTGTGGTACTTTATACAACACTGGCTAAAAGCTAAAAAGAGCTGTAGCTAAAAGTAGGACAGTGGTAGATAAAGTAGCTAAAATTAGCACACACCAAAGCAAATACTAGGGAGAACAATGTTTTTCTTAGCTTAATATAAGTATATCAATGTATTTCTATGGAGAAAATCAAAAGTAAAGTTAGAAAACCCATCTGTCACAGCACTTGTGTCCTAATAACCTGAATATTTTATGTAAATATGGTGGAACTCGTACATCTGAAAATTTCCAGCCACGTTTGACCCAATTTAGTTATCTAAAGTTTCTTTATAACAACTTGCGAGGATAAATTACATGTCTAGAATAAAGAAATTGTGTATTTACAGAGTTGTCAAGAAAGCATTATGCTTTGATTTTATTCAATATGTCAAGATTTGCATGTATCATATTTCCTCAAATGTTGATCTTAATCTTATTACAAATATCCTTGTTTTTTTAAATTGTGAACAAACTATTAATCATTGGATTTTTCTATATTTAACAGAAAAAACAGTTACAAACATGATGAGTTGTTGTTGAACACCCGAAATAACAAAAATAATTAAATAAATCATTGAGATTTGCATATTTTTGTTATTCAAGCAAACATGCAAGATTTCAAACTAAATTCAAGAAGAATTTCACCCTTACTTTAACACAATCTGTGTTAGATACTCTGTTGAGTAAATCCGTCATGTTTCCATTCAGTTCTGCTTCCGGTTCTGGTCAGCTGACTTCAGTCACATGACGGACCGAGCTGCGTTCACGGACCGTCAGAAACTCTCACTGTCACCTTTAATGTCTTCTCCGCACGCGCTGAAAATAAGCGGAAAGCTCGGCGTCATTCATTATTTATCCGGAGAGAGGAGCTGTCTTCTTGTTCATCTCACAAACAGCCAAAAATGCGCCTGTTTAGTCTGGTTGTTTATTGTGGGAAATGAATCGGTAACAAAAAGTGAGGTGGGGAACCTGAAGCACCGCAGCCTTCCTCAGACCCGGGGACRTGTTTCACATCCTGTTTAATTTTCGCCAGCAGCTCCAGCGAGATGTGACCGAAGCGGTTCAGCCGCTGCCGACACCAAGCGTCGGCCGGGCAGCGAATGGGAACGGAAAACCGGGTAACTAGGTTTGATTAAATATTTTTTTCTCCCAAGAAAAGACGCGAAAGCAGGTCTGGGGTTTTCTTTCTGTGTGGCTCAGAACCGCAGGCCTCTCTCCGAGCTACCAGTGGAGTTGGTGCCGACTGTMCTGAAAGTAAACACATSAAYCTACACCAGTTTTTGTTAGCTTTAYTTTTGMACGTGGTGAACAATGTTGGATGAATATCACTGYGTTTATCTGTCAGATCGGTTTGGTGTTCACTGCGAATGCCATTATAAAAGCTGAAGCAGTGTCTCTCATTTTAATCCCAGTTCATCAGTGCTAATCCCATCTTCTGTCTGATTTCTTTAGCATTCKGTAGAGAAGTTAGGACAGCTTAATTGTGTCTCGTGACAGGCTGCAGGGAACAAAGAGCATCCTGTTGAAAATCAGTTCTTTAAGTTGTGTGTTGACACAACCCTGGTTTATTCCTTAGCTTTAGGAGTTTTTTTTTTTATGCCTGAATGAATCAAAGGTGACATTCAAAGCCACTTGGCACGGTTTACACTTGACCCAGGTCACTCACAGGTGGCTTCTTATCATTTATTTTCCCTAATTACGATATTTGTCCATCAGTATTTTTGATCATTCTTCCCTGACCACTTTGCCGTGGAAGAGGTCTTAGACCAGGGGTCTGCAACCTTTATCATCAACAGAGCCATTCCTGCTCCTCGGCTCATTAATAAAATGTGTTTAGAGTCACAAAACAAGCGACAACTGTAATTACCAACTGGTGGTCCGTGGGCCTTTTCGAGGCCTTTTCAGGAACCTTTATGGCCAACGGAGGCAACATTATAAAACAAAAAAATTGTGAATTTTATTATTTATTATTATTTTTGCACATCAGGACAAATGAAAAGACCAGCTTCATCTAAACAAGTTTTTAT